TCTAGAATTTGTTTATGGAAACTGAAATCCCTTATTGCTATTTTTGTCAAGTTTAATGAATTGTTATTAAAAATGTTAGTTGAATACATTTCTTGTTTGTTCACTTTGTGCATTCAATATATTTTTAGCTCACCTGAGCCGAAGGCTCAAGTGAGCTTCTCTGATCGAAATTTGTCCGTTGTCTGTCGTCGTTGTAGTCGTTGTCATTGTTGTTGTCGTAAACTTTTCACATTTTCATCTTCTTCTCAAGAACCACTGGGCCAATTTCAACCAAACTTGGCACAAAGTATCCTTAGGTGAAGGGGATTCAAGTTTGTTCAAATGAAGGGCCACGCCCTTTACAAGGGGAGATAATTATGAAAAAATTAATGGCATTTAAAAAAATCTTCTTCTCAAGAACCCCTGGGTCAAGATAGATGAAATTCATGTGGAATCTTCCTCAGGTAGTGTAGATTCAAGTTTGTTCAAATCATTACCCCGGGGGTAGGGCGGGGCCAAAATGGCCGATCAAAGTTTTACATAGGAATATACAGGGAAAATCTTTAAACATCTTCTTCTCAAGAACCAGTTGGGCAGGAAGGATGAAACTAATATAATGTGGAATCATCTCAGGTAGTGTAAATTCAAGTTTGTTCAAAGCATGACCCCCGGGGGTAGGGTGGGGCCAAAATGGCCGATCAAAGTTTTTCATAAGAATGTAAAGGGAAATCTTTTAAAATCTCCTTCTCAAGTACTTCAAAGACATGATTAGTGATATTTATATGAAATCATCCTCAGGTAGTGTAGATTCTAGTTTGTTCAAATCAAGACCCCTTAGGGGTTAAGATTTAAGCCCCCACCCTTAACTCGGTAAACTTTCATTTCTGATCTGATATTTGCTTTTTCCTAGCCGGTGTGCTCAGGTGAGCGCTGTGGCCCCTGGGCCTCTTGTTATGTTAAATACATAAAATAGTACTTGTCTTTGAAATAACATTTTTCTGTAAATTTAAAATAATATAAAGGTTATTTTTTTCTCATTTATAGTTTCTGATAGAGTTAATATGATTTTATTTGAAATATTTTTACCGTAAAGTACATATTATGAGTGGAGTCCATTTAAAGACATCTTAAGTTCCCAGATATCTCTGATTTTGAACATAAAACAACTGTTTTACATTAAAATCTGTTTTTAACCACTTTTAGCTAAACAATATAGTTTTTGTTCACATCTTTAAGACCATTTCTGTTGTATTTGTATTAAAAATCCATCTTTTATTTCTTTAATTATATGTACAGGAAAAAAAAATATTTAAAAATTTCCAGAAATCAGTGAAAATTGAGTTATTTTTGTATAGACCCCAAAATGTCTTAATAGTGGTTTTTTCGTCAAAATATGTCTGAAAAGGTGTGATTCAATCATAATTCTTTTAATATTTATAATATTTTGTCCATTATGGTTGGGACATATTTAGGGTCTTAATGCCCCTGATTCTTTGAAGTCCCTTTCTCCTCGTTATATAAAACCACACCATTTGGAGTATAAATCTGTCTGTTACTGTTATTATCACCCCCATTAGTTCCGTCAATTAGTGTCAAATTTGTCACAGAGTATCCTTGGCCCAAGGGCTACCATTTGTACTAAAATTAGGGGTGGGACCCTAAAACAAGGGGAGATAATCATGAAAATAAAACCAAAAGTACTGGTTGCTAAAAAATCTTCTTCTCCAGAACCACCAGGCAGATTTTCACCAAACTTACATACAAGGGTCAGGATATGTTGAAGATTAAAAATTGTTCAAGGCATGATCCTGGGGAAAAGGGCGTGCTCTCAAGGTCACTTCAAATTTGACTAAAATTTACACTTATTAAAATTGTTGATATTTTGCTTACTATAAAGACTAGGATCATCAAATCTTGTAAGTTGATGCATCTCAGGACTTGAAATCATCTTAATACAAAAATAGGTCACGGTGACCTACTTTTTAAATTTTACAATCTTTTGTTATCAAATTGATTTGGAGGTATATTTTGGACACTTTAAGGCCTATGATCATAAAACTTTGTCAGTTGGTGCATCTTGGGTCCACAAACAACATCAACTTAAAAGTAGGCCATCGTGACCTACTTTTTATACGCCCTTCTTAAGACAGGACATATTTTGTTATAGGCTTCGTGTCCGTCTGTCCGTCTGTCTGTTAGCTTTTTCGTTTCCGGCTCATAACTCTAATACTACTAGGCCTAGGATTTTCAAATTTGTCATCTAATGCATCTTGGGTAGAAGGTGTGTTGCGCACAAAAAATAGGTCGCTCTGACCTTTAATTAAGAAGTTATAGCCAAATATGGAAAAATCCTTTCCGGCCCATAACTAGAAAACCATAAGACCTACAATCATCAAACTTGGCCAGTTTATGCATCTTAGGAAGACCAATTTCAAGGTCACTGTGACCTTTAATTTAAGTGATTTTTTTTTTAAAATGTGTCTTTTTACTATTCATTAACACATTCCAAATAATGTAAGAGTATTGGACTGTTCTTGTTAAAAAAGTGTTAAATCAAGAAAATACTTATTTTTTCTAAGCATATACTTGACAGCAATCTATAACAAATATAATGCATGTCAGAGAAATCCTGCCTCTCCCATGAGAGTAATTATCAAGCACTGGTCAAGAAGAATTTTGATAACAGAAAATTGCATGTCAAATTAGAGAGAAATTAATGGGTTTTGAGTGTGAGGAACTAACTGACAGAGCATTGGTGTTATCTATATCCCTTGAGTATTGGGTAAATGGGTACTAAGCCTATGTGATTAAAAATAGCTCTTGTTGACTAGCTTAAGTTTTAAAATGAAGTTGATGAAAAGTAATTAAAACTATTTTGACTTGCGTAATAGACTAATCTTATATTATGTAATATTATTAATTTAAAAACGAATTTTATGGGGTGGGGTGGAATCAGCATGTCCATATGAATTACATATTAAAACCTGTTGGAAATTAAATCTCAACCAAATCAAAAATCTTTGAGTATTTTATATATTTTTAAAAAAAAATTATAGTAGATAGTGCAGACCCTTTCATCTCTTGGTAGTAATGAGTAGACAAGCATCCAGTTAAAGTTTAATTAATGAGTTCAATGTTGGAAGGCTAGCTGTCACAGTCGCTCTGATTAAGCTGTATCCTTTGGGGATTAGACAGAGGAACTGTTGGTCAGTTTATAACATATGTCATTTGATGGCCAGCCTTTTCTTTTCAAAATTAATTTGGTGTAGATTAAGTTGTTTAAAAGACTAATTTGATGATGGACTTTTGACAAGGTACAACCAGCACAGAAATCTATCAGTGATGTAATATTTATTATAATTGATGCCTACATCACAGGGATGGATAATTATTTTAAGGAATGGAAAAATCATCGAAAACTTAGAATCAAGATTGATGTGATTTTCTTGCACCTAAAATGTTCAAGAAAATTGTAATTTTTTTGACGGGCATATCATGCTGTGGCGCGGCACTTTATTGAATTTTATGACTAATCTTCTCTAAAACATTTAATCCCATTATTTCAGACACCGAGAGGTTTAGAATCACCAAATCTTGTAAGTTGATGCATTTAGAGGCCTTAAACCATATTAATGAAAAAGTTGGTCACTGTGACCTACTTTTTGGGAGTTGAACTATGTTCAATCTCCCATGGTCATCACGTATTTAACATGCGCAGTAATTTGTGTTGATTATATAGAGCGGAAAGCGAGGCTTCTGTGTCGGCTGATTTACTCCGATGATATTCAACAGAAAACATGCATAAACATCCGCCACAAATAGTTCATGTCATATTCTCCTGAATTGATCTAATTTTCATAATTTGAAATGTAAGTAAATGTAATAATGATAAAGCAATCTTTTTTTGAATATTAGATTTCGTTCAAAGTAAAACTAAATAATAAAGAACCTCAAAAGTTTTTCGTAAGGGAACTTATTTTTTGTGTGGCGCCATACACTGAAAAAGATACGATTGTCACAGGGTGGCTGGCGGCTTCCCAAAATCACAAAGCAATGTGTATAAAATAGTTTTTATTACAGATATTTACAAACACACGCGAAGTATAACTGTCTGAATGGTTCACTGGCTGAATGGTACAGATGGCATAAGTGGCCTAAATAAATGGGGCCTATAAAATAAAATAAAGTTAGATACAGACATATAATTAAACATTGCTCATACTTGTACATTTTGCTGTACATTACTTAGGTGCATTTTACTGCATTACACATTACATTGTTGCATTTTACTGCACTGTACTTATACTTCACTTCACTTCATACTACTTTACTTTATAGAACTTTTACGTTCACACACAGACTAAGTGTACTACTTGTAGACAACCACTTTAAGACGAATACTATACGCCATACTTTATACAAACAACAATACGTCTACATTATAATATACTCATACACTTATACTTTTACTTATAACATATACTTTACATGAGCAAATACTACTTCGAATCTAACTTACGAATGAAATTATAGAACAAAGTTCTGTGGCCATTTCAGGAATAAAAACCGTAAATAAATCATACAGCTTACGATAACAAATAAAATACACTTACCCAGAATAGGTGGACCTCTGGTCATGAAATTATAGAAACATTAAACAAAAATAAGGTAGAAAGTTGAGCAGTCTTAGACACTTCTGCTCTCTCCAATTGCTACGCCCAATCTGATTTCACGGGATTTAAATCGCCAGGTAAAACCTGCTAAACAAGCTTAAAAGTATGGTAAACATTTTGGGCTTATAATATTGGTAATATAGAATTCAGATAAAACATATGGAATTCAAATACGGACATCAATTGTGACATTACCTTCCCCCTTTAAAGAAAAATTACATACATGTAATTTTTTCCCAAACACAATTTCTGTACGATATTTTTTTTTTTTACTTTTCAAACATAAGATAAAACAAGATAAAATTCTTCATTTATCAACTTTATTTACATACAGTTACTGACGGATTCTTACTGTCTGCTTAAATAATCCGCTCCTACATTGTCCTTCCCTCTGATAGCCCTGATGCGGAATCGGTACGGCTGAAGTGACAATGCCCATCTCATTAGTCTGGAGTTCACTAACTTCGTCTTATTCAAATATACCAGCGGATGGTGATCTGTCTCTAAAATAAACTCTTTGCCATAGAGATACCTGTGAAACTTTTGCACTGACCAAATGATACCCAAACATTCCTTTTCTGTCGTTGAGTAGTGTTCTTCACTTGGTTTTAGTTTGCGGCTGGCATAGGCAACAGGGAGTTTGAATTCACCTTCTTCCTGTAAAAGTACTGCTCCTATACCTCTGTCAGATGCGTCAGTCTGTACGATGAAAACCTTGGAAAGATCCGGTAATTTCAAAATCGGAGATTGTATAATAGATGCTTTTAAATTTTGAAATTCTAATTCCTGAGCTTCTGTCCACTGAAGTTTACTAGGAGAGAACTTTCTTGTGAGGTCTGTTAATGGAAGAGCTATATGGGCAAAATTCGGGATAAACTTTCTGTAAAAATTTACCAGTCCTAGAAAAGATCGCAGTTGTTTTTTCGTCGTAGGATGGTTCGCCTGTTGTATAGCCGACACTTTATCTGGATGAGGATGTACTTTGTCATCGCCTATGATATGGCCCAAACACTCCAGTTTCCGATAAGCTAAAGAACATTTCATTGGTCTGGCGGTGAGACTTGCTGCACGGAGACGCTGTAAAACCTGAGAAAGCACAGAGATATGTTGATCAAAAGTATGAGTAAATATCAAAATATCATCTATGAAATTGTCAACATTAGACACGTTGTTGAGCACCTCGCGCATGAGACGACAAAAAGTAGCCGGAGCTGTAACCAGCCCGAACGGCATTTTGGTGAACTGGAAAAGACCTTGGGGAGTCTGAAAAGCTGTCATTGGACGGGCAGAATCAGACAATGGCACTTGCCAGTACCCCTTTGACAAATCTAACCGTGAGAAGTATTTATGGCCTGATAATTTAGCAAACATTGCGTCTACATCAGGCATAGGCTCCGCATGAAACACAGTAATGCGATTCAGAGCTCTAAAATCGACGCAAAACCGATATGTGTTGTCCTTCTTTGCAACAAGGACTATTGGGGATGAATATGGGCTTTCCGAATATTCTATTACCCCGATTTCTAACATTTTACGTACCTCATCTTTCACCGTCTCCATCATAGCAAAAGGGATTTGTCTCGGACTTACTCTCACAGGTTTATCCGTCGTTGTCCTGATTTCATGTTCAAGCACATGCGTGTGGCCTGGTACATCTGTTAAAACATCACTATACCTGTGTAAAAGATCCATAAGAGTTTCTCTCTCCTCTCTGTTGAGATCAGGATTCACATCTACATCTTTGTAGGATTCTCGAGACTGTACGTGTACGAACTCTGCTTCTTCATCATACTCACCAACTGGTTCATCAAACTGAATCTGTTCTGAATCTACAACTGACATAACACATTGAACAACTGGTTCACAACGTTCTACATATCTTTTTAACATGTTTGCGTGATAGGTCTTAACTTTTCCCTTCACATCTAACTGATAGTCTACTTTACCCATCTTTTTCACAATTTGATAAGGGCCTTGCCATTGCATAAGGAGCTTATTACTATCAGAAGGCAACAAAACCAAAACTTTCTCACCTGGTTTCATATTTCGTACTCTAGCCTTCTTGTCAAAGTACACTTTGTGTCTTTGTGACGCCCTCTTAAGATTCTCCTGTGCCAACTCCCAAGTTGACTCCAATCGCTCGCGGAGATCTAAAATGTACTGGTAGGTAGACTTTACCTGTTGATCTGGAATTTCTTTCGTCCATAGTTCTTTCAGGATCGTCATGGGTCCTCTCACTGTACGACCATATAACAACTCAAAGGGAGCAAAACCCAAACTTTCCTGGGGCACCTCACGATAGGCAAAAAGCACAGTGGGTAGATATTTATCCCAATCTTTTGGTCTATCAATACACATACGTTTAAGCATTTGCTTAAAGGTGCCGTTAAACCGTTCAACTAACCCGTTGCACATAGGGTGATACGGAGTAGTTGTTAACTGTTTCAACGAAATGAGTCTACTCACCTCTTTCATGAGTCCGGAAGTAAATTGACTTCCCATGTCTGTTAATATTTCCTCTGGAATACCTGTATAGGAGAACATCTCAAGTAAGGCCTCAGCAACCCGCTCTGTGTCTATTCCTGGAAGCGCCTTCGCTTGTGGAAACCTTGTGGCGTAATCGACTAAAGTCAAAATAAAACGATTACCTTTTTCAGTTGGGGGGTGCAGTGGACCTACAATGTCTACAGCAACCCTTTTAAAAGGCACGTCTATTAAAGGCATTCTACCTAAAGGAACTTTAGTTACCGTACCCTTAGACACCGTTCTTTGACATGTATCACATGACCTACAAAATCGTTTTATCTCCGACTGCATTCCTGGCCAAAAGAACTCTGACAAAATCCTAGAAATTGTTCTACTAATCGCTAAATGGCCAGACATGATCGATTCATGGGCTAATTTCATTACAATATGACGAAACTTTGATGGGACTATAAGTTGAGAATAGGTCTTACCACCGTCCTTTTCTGCTGACACATATTCCCTGTACAGAAGACCATTCTTTTCAAACCATTTGACCTTACCATCACGTGAAGTACGACCTTCCTGTGCATATCTGCGTGCTGTTTCGAGTGATGGATCTGACTGCTGTTCTCGCAATATGTCATCTGGGTTGATTTCATCTTTGACAATATCTGGCACTTTAAGTGGTTTATACTTTTTCTGTTTTTCTTTTACCTGTTGTCTTGTTTCTACCGCTGTAATAGTGTTGGGTTTCCATTCTGGATCCGGATCATGAGGTTTCCTCGCATTCTCTACTTCACCTATAATCAGATCAAAGACAGGATTTTCCATACACCAACATTCATACTCACCTGATACATATGGAGAATCAATGACAACATTTGCCACTGGGACTACTATTCTTGTGTTGTCTGCCAAAACACACGTTTCTTGTCTACCTGTAAAGTTTTCCTCTTTTACCAGACTCTTGCGCACTACAATGTTTCGACATCCTGAATCTCTCAGTAAGGTAACTGGATGACCCTCAACGTAACCAGCTGAAAGAGGCATTGGTTTCGCTGTAGAATGACATGCCGATGTTAAAACGGTTGTATGGTCACTCACCTGACTATAAATAGACGGGTTTTGACTATAAATCAGCGCTGCGCAGTTACTTGGATTTGCATTACTACCATTTGCTTGATCTTTCCCACGTTCGTCCTTGCACACTGCTGCACTTGAGTTTTTACTTTTAAATCTGCACTGGGGTGCAATGTGACCATATTTGTTACACACAAAACATTTTCTTTCATTGTTTGGAACAAACCTTGGCTTCTGTTGCTGATGCTGACGTACATCTTTGGGTTTTTCTGGTACCTTACTTACCTCAGGTTTGTTCACTGCCTTTGAACACAAATTGATAGCACTAGTATTTCTGGCTTCCCTAAACTGATCAGCTAACATACTAATTTGATCTGCTGTCTTTGGAACATTCTGCTTCAGAAATACAGTCAATTCAAAATTACACACATGTAACATTTGATCTCTAAGCATAAGATCGAAAAGAGCCTCAAATGAACAAGTAATTTTGGACATTTCGACCCACCGAGTCAAGTAAGAAGCAAGTCTAACAGTGAATTGAGAAAATGTTTCCCCAACTTCAGGTCTACAAGAACGAAATTTCTTTTTAAAACCATCCTCTGTCATTTCGTACCTACGTAGTAAAGCTGCTTTAAGTTCATCGTAGTCACTTACTTTTGCCGTGGACATAAGAGCATATACATCTAGAGCTCGCCCTTTCAATAAAGCACTGAGGTGTGTCGACCATAAAGTCTTTTCCCAATTCATGGCTGTCGCAAACCTCTCAAACCTTCTCAAATAGCTGTCAATTTCGTCTTTGTTTTCGTCAAAAGGAGGAATTTTCGGTACACTAGGTTTTACCATAACATCACTAACCTTACCTTGTGCACTTTTGTTTGCTAGTTCTAATTCGTGTTCCTCTTGTAGCTGCTTCATCTTCATCTCATGATACATGCGTTCCATCTCTAGCTGATATTCTCGTTCTTCTTTTTCTCTCTGTCGAGCCGCTGCTCTCTCTTCACGCTGTAATTTCTGTTGTTCTGTAACATAATTTCTTAACTCTTCTTTTTCATAACCTAACCTCTCGCCTGCAGCGATTAAATCTTGTACTGAGTCCATTTTTACGGACATGACCTTTTGAACATAACACGTAGACCTTTCTAACACCTTTGTGTGACCACTTATATACTGCACTTCTACAAGTACTACTAACGACTCTACTGTACTTTGAATTCTACTTTCTATATACTGTGGTACTACATGTATAAGTACTACTAATGTCACTACTATACTCGGAATTTTACTTCCTACTGAATTTGAAAGTTTGAGATTGGGCGACACAACTGTTAATACTTTTGACTTATTTACCACACTACTTTTACCCTGACCAGTCTCCACGTACTCTGAGGAAGTCCACCCCTCACTACTTCTAGAAACCTTCTGGACCCCAAATGACCATGGAACATTGCCTACAATAACAATTGCAAAAGTGAGAACAATTACAGACTTCATGTACATACAGAATACAATAAGAGAACATGTATGAAATATTCACTACATTTCAAGTCAAGTAATTCACAAATCTAAGTACTTTTACAACAAAGTCTTTTGTATAATAGTAAAAAGTTTTCAGTAGTTGTTTTCTTTTCTTACAGTTTGACAATGAATGTTTTAATTGAAATAAACATTTAAGTGAATTTCCCGTAGGATGGATTCAAGTCGTCTTGCTTAAGGACATCAGGCACTGTAGGTGACATGTTGATTTCCTCTGCGAGGTTCCATAATCGATGACACTACTTGTATTTGGAATCTGTTTCCAGGTTGACTGTCTATCCTGACGTCGGACGTCGTCCTTTGTTAACGTTGATATCCTTGGATATCCTGGGACTGAATTCCTGGGATTGGTATCCCACTTCTGACACCAATTTTGTCACAGGGTGGCTGGCGGCTTCCCAAAATCACAAAGCAATGTGTATAAAATAGTTTTTATTACAGATATTTACAAACACACGCGAAGTATAACTGTCTGAATGGCTCACTGGCTGAATGGTACAGATGGCATAAGTGGTCTAAATAAATGGGGCCTATAAAATAAAATAAAGTTAGATACAGACATATAATTAAACATTGCTCATACTTGTACATTTTGCTGTACATTACTTAGGTGCATTTTACTGCATTACACATTACATTGTTGCATTTTACTGCACTGTACTTATACTTCACTTCACTTCATACTACTTTACTTTATAGAACTTTTACGTTCACACACAGACTAAGTGTACTACTTGTAGACAACCACTTTAAGACGAATACTATACGCCATACTTTATACAAACAACAATACGTCTACATTATACATATACTCATACACTTATACTTTTACTTATAACATATACTTTACATGAGCAAATACTACTTCGAATCTAACTTACGAATGAAATTATAGAACAAAGTTCTGTGGCCATTTCAGGAATAAAAACCGTAAATAAATCATACAGCTTACGATAACAAATAAAATACACTTACCCAGAATAGGTTGACCTCTGGTCATGAAATTATAGAAACATTAAACAAAAATAAGGTAGAAAGTTGAGCAGTCTTAGACACTTCTGCTCTCTCCAATTGCTACGCCCAATCTGATTTCACGGGATTTAAATCGCCAGGTAAAACCTGCTAAACAAGCTTAAAAGTATGGTAAACATTTTGGGCTTATAATATTGGTAATATAGAATTCAGATAAAACATATGGAATTCAAATACGGACATCAATTGTGACAACGATCGACAACTCTACATACTAACGGTAAGCGGTAAATCAAGTCGTCCCGACGCCTGACGGTCCCGGATTTTTAGCAATTTCATTTTTACCGGTGCACAGAATTTATTAAAACTTTTCATGAACATTTTCTTGGTGTAAATGAATTCATTAATGCATAAAAACTTTAGGAAACATGCGTATTTATTACTACATCAGCAGTATCACCTGCCAAAAACGGTAAATCTAGTACTCCGTTATAAATGTTAAAACCAAAAAAACGGACACTGATGTTTTCGTAAAATCATTTCGTAAAAACAACAAAATGATTTTTTTTTCATAAAAGGAAAACTACATTTACATACCAGATAACTCGTACGCACACAAATTACATATACCACTGTTTTTATGTTTGGTCATTAAATATTTAACTTGGTATTGCTTTTTTCTTCACAATATTAAAAAAGATGAAGTTCTAACGTACTCCATGTATAATGTTCGTGTAATTGAAATACATTTATATTCCCAGAGAAGTTTTATATAACAAATCTGTTAGTTCTTAAAAGGATGCTGTGTTAAAATCCACATTTTATCAACATTGATATTATTCCTGCGAAACTGAAATTTTCATAACACATTGGTAAAGGTGCCAAGGAAAAAGCTTACAAATTTAAAGACTGTGAGCAGTAAATTATGTAAATGATCAACCCCCTCTAATATGAATATAATGTCAGTGTCAATGTTTTGCAATGGGAAGCCAAAAATATGTGTAGGATGGAAAAGTAATAGAAGGTGCACAACGGCAATATGTAACAAAGATTCTATGAAAATTTCGTTCAGTGGTGTAAGAGGAGTTGCGTATAAAAGATGGGTATACCTAAAGCATTACAAACAGATAGACGGAAATCCAGATTATTAAATACCCTCCCGCTTTTCAAGCAGGGGGTATAAAAAAGGACTAATGTAGGAAGGCAACAATATGGCCCCTGCATTTTTTTTGCCATTCAATGTCTCTGAATGTCTTTCTCAAGATTTTTGCAACTCAAAAAATCTGAAACAGTTGTCTGTATTTGAAATAATAATATTGTTCATTCACTTAACCTCCCGATCAAAGATTTTATTTGACACCACGTTCAACTCCCATGAGTGCTCTCAGTACTTTGATTGAACTTTGCAGGCATTTGTTTTCAAATTGTTTAAAAGGCATATTTTGAATACTATGAGACCTATGATCATCAAATTTTGTCAATTGATGCATCTTTGGTCTTCAGAAAATGTCGACCAAAAAGTAGGTCACTGTGACCTACTTTCGACATTGTATGGCTAGATTAAAGTATCTCGGGTACTAATTGGCTTAACGAGGCCGAGTCTAATTATTTCTGCCCTAGGGATTTAGATAATTTTTTGATAATTAATTTTTACTGTTATATTTAATGTTTTAGGATTAAAATATCGAATGTTTACCACCCCGTTTTCTTAGAGGGCCATCTTAAATGTTGTCAAACTTTACTATTAGAGCCTATGGGAATTTGTTGGAAAATCGCCAAATTATTACATTTTTTCAATATTTTTTGTACTTCTGCCCTAGGGATTTCTTTTTAATTCAAGTAAATGAAAGTAAATTGAAAACATCACCAAATTGTGAAATTTCCAAAAAAGTTCACCATCTCAATTGGTCTAGGTCGAAGCCAAATACCTCTAAAATCGCCATATTACGGTAAAATACATAACTATGGTAACGTTGTTAGAGCCATTTCAACGTTATTTTTCCATCAATTGTCATAAAATCACATTTTCAGACCAGTAGGATTTACAAATAATGTTAATTTTGTATTAAATCTAAAATAATTAAAGACTGCATGAAATTAAAAAGCTGCGCAAAGTGATGCGCACTCGAATTAGACTCGGCCTCGTTAAAATCATTAAATTTTGTCAGTTGATGCATCTTGGGTTTTCGGATATTAACGACCATAAAGTAGGTCACAGTGACCTACTTTTGACATTTTATGGCTATACTTTATATATTTCAGGTACCTATTGGCTTAGAATCATCAAACTTTGTCATTCAATGCATGTTGGGTTTTTGGAGCATATTGACCAAAAAGTAGGTCACAGTGACCTATTTTTTTTACATTTTAAGGCTAGTTTTATGTATCTCAGGTACTAATTGGTTTAGAATAATCAAATTTTGTCATTTGATGCATCTTAGATTTTCAGAGCATGTTGACCAAAAAGTAGGTCACGATGACCCACTTTTGAATATCTCAGGTACTGATTGGCTTAGAATCATCAAACTTTGTCAGTGGATGCATCTTGGGTTTTCGGAGAATGTCGACCAAAAAGAAGGTCCCAGTGACCTACTTTTTTTCATTTTATGGCTAGATTTAGGTATTTCGGGTACGTACTGGTCTAAAATCATCAGACTTTGTTATTTGATGCATCCTGGGTTTTCAGAGAATGATGATCAAAATATAGGTCACAGTGACATACTTGTGCCATTTATGGCTATATTTAAGTATTCTAGGGTACTTATTGGCTTAGAATTCTCAAACTTTGTCAGATTATGCACCTTGGGTTTTCGAAGAATGTTGACGAAGAAGTAGGTCACTGTGACCCACTTTTGAATATCTCAAGTACTTATTGGCTTAGAATCATCAATCTTTGTCAATTAATGCATCTTGTGTCCTGAAAAAATTTGAAATCAAAAAGTAGGTCACCATGACCTACTTATAGTATTTTATACATGTAGTTACATTTAAATATCTTCAGCCCTAATTGGCTAAGAATCATCGAACTTTGTCAGTTGATGCATCTTTGGTCTTAGGATAGATTGTATAATTTATCAGAAAAGCGATTCAAGGGACTTTGGCCTCTTGTTTTTTTTTTTTTTTACAAATCATGACCCTCAGGGGTAGGGCGGGACCACAATTGACAAACAAATTTTATATAGGAATATATAGGAATTTTTTTTTTCAAATCTTTTTGTCGAGAACAGTAAAGTCAAAAAGTGTTTCAAAAACAGCAAAGCCATGATTTGTCTTATTAAATAGAAGTGTAGATTTAAATTTTCTCAAACCCACGACTGCCTGAGGGTAGGGTAAAGCCACAATGGACGATCAAAATTTTAGTTAGGGATATATAGGGAAAATCTCAAGAAATCTTCTGGAGAAAAGCAATGCCATGATTGGTCACATTTATATAGAAGTATCCTCAGGTAGTGTACTAGATTCAAATTTTGGCCAAATCGTTACCTCCCTGGATAGGACAGGGACACAGATTGAACAATCAAAGTTTTACATAGATTGAAATATATACTAGGATTTTTTTTTCAAATCTTCTTATCAAAAACAGTAAAGCCATA